GACGGAATCCGTGCTTTATGATTCTGAACTGTCAGATAGCTAGCAACAATGACAAGAAGCTGCCATGTGGGGAATCGTAGGTGGCTCGTTTCAGCAAGTTTTGTCTTGTTTTGACTGATTTCATGTCAATGCTAATATGGCTAAAATTTGCTAGGTAGCTAACCAACAACTGTAACAATGTATTTGAGAGACAATCAAATAAAATGTTATGTCACATGCTTGGTAAACAACAGGTGTAGACTAACAGGGAAATGCTAATTTACAGGCCCTTCACAACAATGCAGAGAAAAAAATAGAAATTATAGAAAAGTAATGAGTCCGAGTAGATGTGCAGGGGTACGAGGTAATTGAGGTGTATATATGTACAGTTGAAGTCGTAAGTTTACATACACTTAGGTTGGAGTCATTAAAACTATTTTCAACCACTCCACACATTTCTTGTTAAACTATAGTTTTGGCAAGTCGGTTAGGACATCTACTTTGTGCATGACACAAGTAATTTTTCCAACAATTGTTTACAGACAGATTATTTCACTTATAATTCACTGTATCACAATTCCAGTGGGTCAGAAGTTTACTGTGCCTTTAAACAGCTTGGAAAACTCCAGAAAACAATAATTTGAGTCAATTGGAGGTGTAGCTGTGGATGTATTTCAAGGCCTACCTTCAAACTCAGTGCCTCTTTGCTTGACATCATGGGAAAATCAAAAGAAATCAGCCAAGACCTCAGAAAAAAAAATGTAGACCTCCACAAGTCTGGTTCATCCTTGGGAGCAATTTACAAACGCCTGAAGGTACCGCATTCATCTGTACAAACAATAGTACGCAAGTATAAACACCATGGGACCACGCAGCCATCATACCGCTCAGGAAGGAGACGCGTTCTGTCTCCTAGAGATGAACGTACTTTGGTGTGCAAATCAATCCCAGAACAACAGCAAAGGACCTTGTGAAGATGCTGGAGGAAACCGGTACAAAAGTATCTATATCCACAGTAAAACAAGTCCTATATAGACATAACCTGAAAGGCCGCTCAGCAAGGAAGATGCCACTGCTCCAAAACCACCATAAAAAAGCCAGACTACGGTTTGCAACTGCACATGGGGACAAATATTGTACTTTTTGGAGAAATGTCCTCTGGTCTGATGAAACAAAAATAGAACTGTTTGGCCATAATGACCATTGTTATGTTTGGAGGAAAAAGGGGGTGGCTTGCAAGCCGAAGAACACCATCCCAACCGTGAAGCACGGGGGTGGCAGCATCATGCTGTGGGGGTGCTTTGCTGCAGGAGGGACTGGTGCACTTCACAAAATAGATGGCATCATGAGGAAGGAAAATTATGTGGATATATTGAAGCAACATCTCAAGACATCAGTCAGGAAGTTAAAGCTTGGTCGCAAATGGGTCTTCCAAATGGACAATGACCCCAAGCATACTTCCAAAGTTGTGGCAAAATGGCTTAAGGACAACAAAGTCAAGGTATTGGAGTGGCCATCACAAAGCCCTGACCTCAATCCTATAGAAAGTTTGTGGGCAGAACTGAAAAAGCGTGTACGAGCAAAGAGGCCTACAAACCTGACTCAGTTACACCAGCTCTGTCAGGAGGAATGGGCCAAAATTCACCCAACTTATTGTGGGAAGCTTGTGGTAGGCTACCCGAAACATTTGAGTGATGAAAGAAATAAAAGCTGAAATAAATAATTATCTCTACTATTATTCTGACATTTCACATTCTTAAAATAAAGTGGTTATCCTAACTGACCTAAGAGGGAATTTTTACTAGGATTAAATGTCAGGAATTGTGAAAAACTGAGTATAAATGTATTTGGCTAAGGTGTATGTAAACCCCTGACTTCAACTGTACATATATAGAGGCATTGTCGTGTTTAAGACTGTGTTGGTGTGTGTGGACGACTGTTGGTGTTAATTCCTTAGTGATGTGGACACCGAGAAACTTGGAAGCTCTCGACCCGCTCCACTACAGCCCTGTTGATGTGAATGGCGGCGTGCTTGGCTCTTCGTTTCCTGTAGTCCATGATCAGCTCCTTTGTCTTGCTGACGTTGAGGGAGAGGTTGTTGTCCTGGCACCACACTGCCAGGTCACTGACCTCCTTATAGGCTGTTTCATCGTCGTCGGTGATCAGGCCTACCACCGTCATGTCGTCAGCAAACTTGATGTTGTTACAGTCGTGGGTGAACAGGAAGTACAGGAGGGGACTAAGCACGCACCGCTGAGGGGCCCCAGTGTGGCGGATGTGTTGTTGCCTACCGTCAGGAAGTCCAGGATCCAGTTGCAGAGGGAGGTGTTCAGTCCCAGGGACCTGAGCTTGGAGGGCACTATGGTGTTGAACGCTGAGCTGTAGTCAATGAACATCATTCTCACATAGGTGTTCCTCTTGTCCAAGTGGGAGAGGGCAGTGTGGAGTGCAATAGAGAGAGCGTCATTTGTGGATCTGTTGGTGCGGTATGCGAATTGGAGTGGGTCCAGGGTGTCTGGGATGATGGTGTTCATGTGAGCCATGACCAGCCTTTCAAAGCATTTCATGGCTACAGATGTGAGCACTACCTTGACAACAAGTGCTCATTGTGTCCACGATGTGGATGTGATGTATATTAGTGCTAAATTGTGAACTAGCTATGCATGCAAGTCGCCAATATTCTTTAACTCAAACTGAAAGACAACATTTTCCACATTATTTCCTCGCCTGTATTACATTTCTCTTATAGAAACATTGTGCTGAGGCAATATCTCTAGATAAAGAATTGATAATAAAAACATCACCACCAATTTCTATTGTCTATAAAAGATGACTTTATGAAGCCCTGACTATAATAACTAGTAAAGATACCTTTCACTTTACATTGCCCAAAACAAACAGAACAACTATATAACATTTCCATTCTTTACAACAAAGTGCCCTAGCTTCCTTATTAAAAAATAAATAATAATAGTAATATTTTAGACAGGACCAGGAAAGTAAAAAACCTTCTCACAATTCTATATTACAACAGCACTGGTCTAACCTAAAACATTGGGAAAACAATGGTTAGCACAACAGCCAAAGTGACAAGGTCGGTCCTCAGAGTAAGAAAGACATAACTAATAATGTATAAAATGGCAGTTCTGATCCGAATTCCACTTCAGTCAACAGAACTAAGGATCTCTGATCCAGTCTCATCCCTATGGAATACAAAAAACACAGCATCTATATAGGCCCTGTGTTTGGTCTGACCGTGCAAAGATTCCGTACCGCTTTAGTGTGGAGAATGGGATAATAAGAATTAGGGACACTATCCCATCTGAAGTCCAGTCAGGAGAGGAGGAGAGAGAAAGACAAAGAGAGGGGGGTGAAGAATAATGCAGTCCAGCAGAACCACTGCCCTCCTTCCTCCCTCCAGCTTTCCATGGTTCCTTCCTGGAGAGAGAGAGAGCTGGGTTAGTCTCCTCTCTCTGGTCTCCCATATGAATATGATGCTACACCACGTGTACCGCTATGTTATGTTCACCACTTCCTCTACTTCCTCTGCTGCTTTGTCTTCCAGTCTTTTATTGTTTTATCTGCAATCTGATGATGATATGACAGGAAGATGAGCCAGCTCCAACTCAGGGAGTGACGTCTTCTCGTCTTCTGCATCAAAGCATACCAATACAGAACACAGATCCTTTAACGTTAGACCTACTTCCTTTAACCCTTAACCCCACATCCACTGGCCATCCCTCAACCTCAAACACACACACACACACACAGTACTTAATCAAAATATTCAACAACAGTTTTTTGCTTACACCGTTACTCCTCATACTCAGTCAATGTCCTCCACCCCAGCTTCCACTCAGCGTAACAGCAGTACAGGTGTCCACTCAGCGTAACAGCAGTACAGGTGTCCACTCAGCGTAACAGCAGTACAGGTGTCCACTCAGCGTAACAGCAGTATAGGTGTCCACTCAGCGTAACAGCAGTACAGGTGTCCACTCAGCGTAACAGCAGGACAGGTGTCCACTCAGCGTAACAGCAGTACAGGTGTCCACTCAGCGTAACAGCAGTACAGGTGTCCACTCAGAGTAACAGCAGTACAGGTGTCCACTCAGCGTAACAGCAGTACAGGTGTCCACTCAGCGTAACAGCAGTACAGGTGTCCCCAAACAGCGACAGGTGTCCATCAGAGTAACAGCAGTACAGGTGTCCACTCAGTGTAACAGCAGTACAGGTGTCCATTCAGCGTAACAGCAGTACAGGTGTCCACTCAGCGTAACAGCAGTACAGGTGTCCACTCAGCGTAACAGCAGTACAGGTATCCAGACAGTAACATAGAACTAGGGGTTATACAACATGGCACAATGCTTTCATTCAGTCTGATATCATATATGAAGCTCAGGTTCAAGTGAAAGAAGAAATCTACAATAAATAAATACATATCAATAATAAATAGTCTACACAGCAAGGAGTTGATCATTATAACAGTTCTGAGAGTCTGAGTAAGTGTTCTTCATCATCATACAGTAGGTGTGTTACATAGGCCTGCTCAGTAGGCCTGTTCAGATACACTGAGCCTCCATGCTCTATATGGTCCAGAGAAACCGGTTGAAGGCTCAGGTGAGAGTGACTACTTGATGCTACTGTGCCCCTCCACCCTGAAATCCACCATCCACCTCCTCAAACCAAAACACTCCACACTTCCTTATGATGTCACTTCCTTTATACAGGTAAGTCCTCTCTCCTCTTTCATCCTTTTTTCCACATCTTTGTGTTCTCTGTTATAAGTGTTCTGATAAGCACTGCCAGCGACAATTAGCTGTTGGTTAAATAACACCAATAATACTGTAGAGCTGGAACAACTATTACCGCTTTACTGTGAAATGAAATAGGAAGGATGGAGGATTTGGGGGAGTCGGTTGGATATGAGGGTCCAGTGCTTAGGCATTAAGGGGAGGTGAGCCCTTTGGCTCAGAGGACAGTTACAGGGGGGTGCATGATGATGTTTTTAAGGGGGTCTCCTCTCAACTCCGCTGGCCCGGGGCAGTGCGTCCGGAGGCCTTGCCATTGAGACTGTGCTGGCTGATGGAAGGAGAGGACTGGGTCTTCCGGAGGTAGCCCTCGCGCCCCCCTAGGCCCTCCCAGATCCCGCTCATCACGCTAGCCTCTATCTTCTCCAGGTCGTCTGTCTCTGCCCTCATCTTGGCCTGGAGCAGGTTTATATACGTCTCATACCGACTCTTCTGCAATGGAGAGAGAGGGGGAATGAAGATGATGTGACTATAAATATGCATATATCACACATATGGCTAATTTAACACATAGCTATTACACAATGCTCCCCTACAGAGAGAAAGAGGATGAATGTCAAATTAACTCATGATGGGGGAAAAACACAGAGAAAGGGAATATAGGACATTGATATCGTGATTCTGTCACAACTATAACACAACAACAGCACATCTATTTGAGATTTACACAGACCTATGCACAGAGAAACAGTTACACAGAGAGAGAGAGAGAAAGAGAGAGTGAGAGAAAGCGAGAGAGAAAGAGAAAATGAGAGAGAAAGAGAGTGAGAGAGAAAGAAAGCGAGCAATGATATTAATTAACAATAATATTGTTACGAATGTGCAAATTGTCCAAACAGATCCGCAAGGTAGATGGATTATTCAAATGTTTTTATTGGACCATAAACAGATTTGGCTCATTAATCTATATGGTCCAAATAATGATGATCCACGCTTCTTTGAAAATACATATCATAATTTATCAAGCCTACAAGCAATACAAGACTCTATTATTATGGTGGGAGATTATAATACGGTTTTAAATACATCAATGGACAGTAAAGGAAATCACACTACAAACTATCACCCTCATTCACGAATATCATGGATATATTGGAAATAGTGGATATATGGAGGCTTAAATATCCTGACCTAGTGAGATATACATGGCGGAGACTCAATCAAGCTAGTTGTCTTGACTACTTTCTTAAGTCCTTCTCGCTGGCACCAAAAGTTTAAAAAGTGTTGATAGGGGACAGAATGCGGTCGGACCATCAAATAATTGGCATATACATTACTCTTACAGAATTTCCACGTGGGAGAGGATATTGGAAATGTAATCAAAGCCTATTGGATGATAAAAACAAGTTAACTAGGACAGAATAATTTATAACTGACTTTTTCCCGATATAACATAGGTACAGCAGATCCCCTTATTGTATGGGGCACTTTTAAATGTGCCTTTAGAGGCCATGCAATTCAATACTCATCTTTAAAACAAAAGCAATTTTAGGTCAAAATAGTTCATATTAACAAAGGAAATAGAAGGACTAACAGAACAGATAGATAGCAATAAGAACTGTAACATAGAGGCACAGAATAAATTAGAGGAAAAACTAAAATAAATGGAGGAACTTATTCAAGAAAGATCAAGTGTAATATATTATAAAAATAAAGCGAACTGGACAGAATATGGGGAACAATGCACCAAATTATTTTTGAATCGCCAACATAGAAATGCTACCAAAAATAATTTACTGAAACTTCTTACAAATTATGGACTCACCCCTGATTCACCAAACTATATTTTGAAAGAGGAAGCAAAGTAATTTAAGCATATGTTTTCGTTTCAGTCTCCTCCATCTCCACTAACCGAAGTTAATTGTATTGATTATTTTTCTATTAATAATCTAAAATTAACAGCTGTACAGAAAGATTCATGTGAAGGCCAAATTACAGAGGAGGAACTTATTGATGCAATTAAAGCCTTTAAGTCCAGGAAAACTCCAGGGATGGATGGCATAGAGGACCGTTAAATGGTAGATTATCAGATCCTCAACAAGAAGGTCTGATTTCATTATTACTGAAACAGGACCCAAGTGGTAAATATAAAGATCCAGTCCATAAAAAAAATTGGAGGCCCCTTACACTTCAGTGTTGTGATGCAAAAATTCTGCCAAAATGCATAGCCCAAAGAATAAAAAAGGTATTGTCGGATACTATTCATCCTAATCAGAAAGGTTTTTTACATGGACGATACATTGAAAATACCTGTCTATTTGTGGAAAAATCCCCCTGATTAACTCTTTAATTATATCCCAGTTTAACTATTTGCTTATGGCCTTGCCTACACCTAGTGACTTGTTTTTTTAATTATATGAGCAAAAAATATTCCATTTCATTTCGAACTGCAAGCCAGACAAAATTATACAGGCCTATTTATATACAGTGAGGGAAAAAAGTATTTGATCCCCTGCTGATTTTGTACGTTTGCCCACTGACAAAGAAATTGTCAGTCTATAGGTTTTTTTTAACAGTGAGAGACAGAACAACAACAAAAAAATCCAGAAAAACACATATAAAAAATGTTATAAATTGATTTGCATTTTAATGAGGGAAATAAGTATTTGACCCCTCTGCAAAACATGACTTAGTACTTGGTGGCAAAACCCTTGTTGGCAATCACAGAGGTCAGACGTTTCTTGTAGTTGGCCACCAGGTTTGCACACATCTCAGGAGGGATTTTGTTCCACTCCTCTTTGCAGATCTTCTCCAAGTCAATAAGGTTACGAGGCTGACGTTTGGCAACTTGAACCTTCAGCTCCCTCCACAGATTTTCTATGGGATTAAGGTCTGGAGACTGGCTAGGCCACTCCAGGACCTTAATGTGCTTCTTCTTGAGCCACTCCTTTGTTGCCTTGGCCGTGTGTTTTGGGTCATTGTCATGCTGGAATACCCATCCACGACCCATTTTCAATGCCCTGGCTGAGGGAAGGAGGTTCTCACCCAAGATTTGACGGTACATGGCCCCGTCCATCGTCCCTTTGATGTGGTGAAGTTGTCCTGTCCCCTTAGCAGAAAAACACCCCCAAAGCATAATGTTTCCACCTCCATGTTTGACGGTGGGAATGGTGTTCTTGGGGTCATAGGCAGCATTCCTCCTCCTCCAAACACGGCGAGTTGAGTTGATGCCAAAGAGCTCAATTTTGGTCTCATCTGACCACAACACTTTCTCCAGTTCTCCTCTGAATCATTCAGATGTTAATTGGCAAACTTCAGACGGGCCTGTATATGTGCTTTCTTGAGCAGGGGGACCTTGCGGGCGCTGCAGGATTTCAGTCCTTCACGGCGTAGTGTGTTACCAATTGTTTTCTTGGTGACTATGGTCCCAGCTGCTTTGAGATAATTGACAAGATCCTCCCGTGTAGTTCTGGGCTGATTCCTCACCGTTCTCATGATCATTGGAACTCCACGAGGTGAGATCTTGCATGGAGCCCCAGGCCGAGGGAGATTGAAAGTTATTTTGTGTTTCTTCCATTTGCGAATAATAGCATCAACTGTTGTCACCTTCTCACCAAGCTGCTTGGCGATGGTCTTGTAGCCCATTCCATCCTTGTGTAGGTCTACAATCTTGTCCCTGACATCCTTGGAGAGCTCTTTGGTCTTAGCCATGGTGGAGAGTTTGGAATCTGATTGATTGATTGCTTCTGTGGACAGGTGTCTTTTATACAGGTAACAAGCTGAGATTAGGAGCACTCCCTTTAAGAGTGTGCTCCTAATCTCAGCTCGTTACCTGTATAAAAGACACCTGGGAGCCAGAAATCTTTCTGATTGAGAGGGGGTCAAATACTTATTTCCCTCATTAAAATGCAAATCAATTTATAACATTTTTGACATGCGTTTTTCTGGATTTTGTTGTTGTTATTCTGTCTCTCACTGTTCAATTAAACCTACCATTAAAATTATAGACTGATCATTTCTTTGTCAGTGGGCAAACGTACAAAATCAGCAGGGGATTAAATACTTTTTTCCCTCACTGTATATATATATATATATATATATATATATATATATAGGGGATTGGAAATAATGCAGACAATTACATTGATGGAAGCTACAATCTATCTGCAATATTAAAGCTGATCCACCCCCTAATTAAAAAAAAAAAAAAAAAGAGAGAGAAAGAGAGAGAGCGAGAGAGAGGGAGAAAGAGATGCAACATTTCTCCTTTGAGATAAACTACACACATTATGCAAAATGATGTGGGCCAGAAGTCTATCTGCCTGCCTGCCTACCTACCTAACTGCTGTGTCTCTTACCTCATATATGAGGTAGTGCTCTTTGATTCGGTACTCCTCCCACTCTCTGCTCTTGGGAGAAGGCGAGGGCGGGCTCTTCCTGTGTTCCTCCACCTCCATACTCATCTGCTTCAGCTTCCCCTCGTGAAACTGCAGCTGCTCCTCCTGCACCAATCGCAGCAACCCATCAACCAGCAGGCAGCAGTAACAGCCAATCACATACCACAATCAATCTAGGGTGCACTGTAAGGACCTATCAAACTATGCTATATTTGTGGCTGTGTGTACCGAATATGTGTGAGAGAGTGTGTGCATGCATTGTGCATGTGTGTGATTGCATGAACACACACAAGTTAATGTGTGTGTACCTGGTTTAGCCGGGTAGAGGAGGAGGGCAGTAGCGGTCTACAGAACGTCTTCATGGAGCCGATGGCAGCAGGAAAGGCCGGGGCAGAGAACAGAGCTGCTACCAGGTTAATACGGAATATCCACGACATCATCTCCTCCTCACTCCTACAGAGAGAGAGAGAGAGAGACAGGGGGGAAAGATAGATTTTTATGTGTCTGTGTGTGCTCAGTTGGTAGAACATGGCACTTTTAGTGTCAGGATTGTGGGTTCGATTCCCAGGACCACCCTGTCTACGTCAGATGTATGCATGCATGACTGTAATTCATTTTGGATAAAAGTGTCTGCTAAATGGTATACATGAATATTATTATATTATGAGAGAGATTATGCCACAAGTTGCGACAAAATATCTAAAGGCTAATAATATTCTGCTAATAATAACGCCACATTTCTGTACATCATGAAAGTCAGTTATCATTGCGTGACAAAATAACAATAGTGCATTAGGGGACATAAAGCTCGTTCCCATTAACAGGCCTACCCTACAGGCCAGAGTAGCAGAGGTCTTACGGTGCCTGCAGCAGGAACACCCTCCAGTCAGAGGTCTTTAGTTTAAGGACGTTGGGTCTTTTGCTGTAGTCTGTAGCGCGGGTGGCTAACGCATGGTGGATACGCACAGCGTTCTTCAGGTCCCCCTCACACAGCTCTGCATCAGCCTTATACTCATCCTGTCAACAGGGGGAGACATACACATATAAAGTTGTCAGATAGCTCCTACTACTGTGTGTGTGTGTGTGTGTGTGTGGGGGGGGGGGGGGGGGGGACAGAGAGTGTCACACACACATGCAGCTGAGCTACCACTGCTGCATCCCCTTGTCACCACTACTGCAGTGGTAGAAGTCTGTTTCTATGGTAACGGAGAGGTATCTGGTACCTTCTGGAGATAAAGGATCATCCCCTTTAGAACCGCATAGAACTTCTTCCAGCCTCGCCGTCCTCGTGGGGCTAGAGAGAGAGGGAGAGAAGAGAGAGTGAGACAACCGTTATTTCTAACGTTGTTTAAATCCCAATAACTGAAGATTCACGCTCTAAGAAATCCCCTTTCAACCTAGCCTAAGCCAATCTATGTGTGTGTGTGTGTGTGTGTGTGTGTGTGTCCTCACTGCGTTTGCCGTCCATGTCTGCGTGGCTCTTGCGGGTCAGGACACCATGTTTATAGGTGACAGCGTTGAGTAGGATGGGGATGGCGATGAAAGGGTTATTGCCATCTGTTACCCTGGCAACCCCCCTCTTCCCCCCTCCCTCACACTGCTCCTCCACCAGCTCCGATAGACTCTTCCTGAACTCCTCTTCCTCACTGCAATACATCATACATCAGATATAACATAGGACACACACACGCACGTGCACACACGCACGTGCACACACGAACGCGCATCATACACACACACACACCTGAGAATGGATACTCACATTGCCCATTCAAGCTTCTCGTTCTTTATTGAATTATACAGCACCTAAACAGGAAGAGGAAGTGAAGAAATCAAAATGGTGGGAGAGAAAACTCACATTACACCTGATTGAACTGGATGAACTTCAGAGTAACGCCAAACTTGGAATCTGACCAAATATTACATTAGCAATATTGTCCTAGCGTTGATTACCGTACCTTTAATAGGTCTTTAGGGAAGTCTTTACCGTCGTTTAGGCTATCCAGATTACTGATGAACTGCTGGCAAGACATCTTCTTCCCAATGTTCTGGACAAGAGAAACAAAACCACACAGAGAATTAAAGCTAAATACTGTATCTGTTGAGAAACCTTCAAATATATTTACCACTAGGTGTCAGTGCTGTGCAGGTAGGGCACTAGCTATTCTCCTCATCGTGCACTATGTGTTCATTGGTTACATTACAGCCACAGATATACTGTGTACTGTTTATGGAGAGACACAGAAGAGGTTAGTGCTAAAGGCCACTTACCACCTACGGAGCAGGACAGCCAGAGGTTACACAGAGATCAGACAGAACCCAGGAGGATAGATGGAATGAGAGGAGAGGTGAATAACCGAAGGAGGGAGAGAGAGTGCGTTAGATGCAGGAGAGGATCTGTTAGTATACATACAAGAACAGAGAGTTAAATTGTGAGAGCGCGTGTTAAATTAACACTGGATAAGAGTTAGTATACTGTGGTATTTAGTAGTAGGAGACAGAAAGAGGAGACAGAAAGAGGAGACAGAAAGAGGAGACAGAAGGAGCAGAGGTGAAGAGGCAAAAAAGTAGGACAGAGGACAGAAGAGAGATGGAGATTGAGAGAGAGAGAGCGAGCGAGAGAGAGAAGCTATTGTTGATGCAGCACATCACTTCTAAACAGGTGTTGCCTGGCTTAAAGGGGGGGGGGGGGGATTATTCTTATTCTGAAAGACAGCCAAGCATAAAATATAAATAAAATGAGTCGACTACAGTAGGTTTTTCTATGTCAATAGTGTTGGTGTGTGAGTATGCTGTATGTCAAATAGGATTTATGAGTATTTCTGGGGGATCCTGCCTGTACATTGATTTCCATCCATCTCCCTCCACAGATTGTAGGTTTGATAACAGAGCTGTACATACGTGTCCATGTAGATCAGTGTTGAGCAGCATCAGGGCGCAGGTTAACGTATGGGCTCCGTCTGTTGGAAGAAGAAAACATGTTTTTCAATGTTGTTATCTAAATGTCATGGATGACTATTTTATATTTTGAAGTCTCAACAATACCTGGCAGAATACTTTATAATATGCTATTCAAAATGTAAATGTAAGAAATGTATTGTTTTTTTAAATGTTTTTTGGGGGGCCCTAAGCGAGATTTGGTTGGGGGCAGCCCCACCTTGCGGGCAAAACATTTTTAGTGGCCCACCTCTTGATGACGAAGAGAAACTCTAATGTTAATGTCCTGCAATTCTACACATTTTGCCATGGGGCGTAGAGAAAATGTTGCCGTTTTAAAGCATATTTCTTTATACACATTTTGCCATGACTTACAATGCCTTCAGAAAGTTTTCAAACCCCTTAACTTTTTCCACATTTTGTTGTGTTACAGCCTGAATTTAAAATTGATTAAATGGAGATTTTTTTGTCACACAGAATACCCCATAATGTCAAAGCGTAATTATGTTTTTAGAAATGTTTTCCTAATTAATTAAAAATGAAAAGCTGAAATGTCTTGAGTGAATAAGTATTCAACCCCTTTGTTATGGCAAGCCTAAATAAATTCAGGAGTAAACATTTTCTTAAAAAGTAACAATAAGTTGCATGGACTCACTCTGTGCGCAAGAATTGTGTTTAACATTATTTTTTAATGACTACCTCATCTCTGTACCCCACACATACAATTATTTGTAAGGTCCCTCAGTCGAGCAGTGAATTTCAAACACAGATTCAATCTCAAAGACCAGGGAGGTTTTCCAATGCCTCACACCTACTGGTAGATTGTAAAAAAAAAAAGCTGACATTGAATATCCCTTTGAGCATGGTGAAGTTATTAATTACACTTTAGATGGTGTATCAATACACCCAGTCACTAATAAGATACAGGCGTCCTTCCTAACTAAGTTGCCAGAGAAGAAGGAAACCGCTCAGGGATTTCACCATGAGGCCAGTGGTCACTTTAAAACAGTTGCAGTTTAATGGCTGTGATAGGAGACAACTGAGGATGGATCAACAACATTGTAGTTACTCCACAATACTAACCTAATTGACAGAGTGAGAAGAAGGAAGCCTGTACAGAATAAAAATATTCCAAAACATGCATCCTGTTTGCAATAAGGCACTAAAGTAAAACTGCAAAAGATGTGGCAAAGAAATTAACTTTATGTCCTGAATAAAAAGCGTTATGTTTGGGGGCAAATCTAACACAACACATCACTGAGTACCACTCTTCATATTTTCAAGCATGGTGGTGGGTGCATCATGTTATGGGTGTGCTTGTCATCGGTAAGGACTAGTGTTTTTTATTATAAAAATAAACGGAATAGAGGGAAGCACAGGCAAAATCCTAGAGAAAAACCTGCTTCAGTCTGCTTTCCAACAGACAAATTCACCTTTCAGCAGGACAATAACCTAAAATACAAGGCCAAATATACACTGGAGTTGCTTACCAAGACGACGCTGAATGTCCTAGTTACAGTTTTGACATAGATTGGCTTGAAAATCTATGGCAATAATTGTAAATGGCTGTCTAGCAATGATCAACAACCAACTTGGCAGAGCTTGAAGAATTTAAAAAAGAATAATGAATTTATTGTACAATCCAGGTGTGCAAAGCTCTTAGAGATATGTGTGGGTTTTTTGTTTGTTTTTTACAAATGTTAGAATTTGTCTTCCACTTTGACATTACAGAGTATTTTGTATAGATTATTGACAAAAAATGACAATTAAATCAATTTTAATCCCACTTTGTAACACAACAAAATGTGGAAAAAGTATAGGAGTGTGAATACTTTCTGAAGGCACTGTATGTCTTGTTAATATGCTATCTGAGTGAGCATGACTAACAAAGTCAATGGGGGCCCCCTGGAGGTCAGGGACCCTGGGCACGTGCCTTGCATACCCGGTCAGTAATTTGGCAATGAGGTTTAGATAGCTGGCTAGACTAATTTACCTAGTAATCTATAAAATGTTAGCTGACATGGGCTAATTGAGTGACTGTCTATGACTGACATAACAAGAAAAAAAAACTGCTGATGCACTACCAAATTTTGAAATTGCACCTTGTGTGTTCTACTATTCTGACTTCCTAAGAAAAGGAAGGGGGGTCGGGGGCCCCCTAGCAGCCATGGGGCCCTAAGCGTCCTCTTATGTCGCTTAGTGGCAAGAGCCGGCACTGGTTTTTCATTCAAGGCAACAAAGCTGTTATCGTCGTCATCCTCATCCTCATCATAGTCTTCCCAAGCCTCCCCAACACCCTAATTATAATAATCATCATCATCACCATCATCTTCATCATCATCATCATCATTCCGTTTGGATATGTCCTTTCCTTCGGGGGCGAGGGCTGTGGGGTTGCAGACACAGAACCTCTTAGAGAAGTGGACCAGGATCCTTTCTCTCTCCTGGGTCTCCCCCATCAGAGGAAAGGCTTTCAGGAAGTTCCTGAGAATTAGGTCAAAGACCAACGAATGAGAAGGCAGTATTGATTTCAGGCTAGAATGCAGTGTATCTGTCCGTACAGTGATATAGGCTATAAGCTACAACCTCCATTTCTAGGCTTCCTCAAGTTTATTTTGGAAATCGCTAATGGCGACGTAAGAGTAAGGCTACAGTAGACTAGTACAGTACAGTACAGTGGAAACTCTGTGGTTCACCGCTCCCAATACAAACATGTTCATTTACTCTGGATATCTGCATGCTGTGGTTTAATACATGCATTTAAGACAGTCCCAAATCATGGTATACTGTATACCAGGAGTTGACAGTTGACTGTATCGCAAAATAGAGCTCTATACTCAAAAATCAACGATAGGCTAATGTGTTGTGAGCAGGGCTGTGAGAATAGTGCTGACTGGGCTGACTGGTCTTACCTCAGGGCCTTGTCCAATGACAGGCCAGAGAAATCAAAGAAGCTGAGGTACTCTGACGCCACCAGCTGGCTGAACTCATTACTGGATGATGGACAGAGGGAGGAGGGATGGGGAGCGATAGAGAGAGAGAGAGAGAGAGAGAAAGAGAGAGAGAGAGAGAGAGAGAGAGAGAGGGGTGAAGTTTAAGATGATATAAAATACATATAGTACAATATAAACACTGTGAGACATATACATGTGTGACTGAATGACAGTGTGTGTGTGTGGTCTTGTGTGTGTGGTCTTGTGTGTGTGGTCTTGTGTGTGTGTATGCCTGAAACCCCACTTCTTGCCCAGGTGGCGTGCCACATCGCAGCGTTTGAAGCCCTCCAGGTAGAACAGGCGCTTGGCCAGGCGTTTGGCGGCGTTACAGTCGGCACGGCAACCGTTGGACAGGGTGTCCGTGCTGCCTCTCTCCAGCTGCTCTAGACCGCCCAGCTCCGACTCAGAGTCCGACAGCACATCCGTGTCGTTGGCATCACTTACGAGGACACACACAGGGACATTCAGAGATTAGGACAGATTATCCACTTGATAACTGTGGATCTTGCAACATGTGAGGTTAGCATTGTTGAGAACACAACACACACAGACAGATCTCTGTGGACCAACCAACATGACAGCCTTGTTGAGCTGATAGTATGGCACCTACCTGCCCCACAGAACAGGGCCCTAGCAGGACCAACCAACATGACAGCCTTGTTGAGCTGATAGTATGGCACCTACCTGCCCCACAGAACAGGGCCCTAGCAGGACCACTGACTGGCAGTCATAAAGATTAAAACAGAATGTTATAATGATATATGGGAGCTATAAACTCACATTTCAAGACCATTGATGACATAATGTCCTCTAAAGAAGATCCTTTCATTTTTACTAGACAATAATAAACAGATAGATACGATAATAAATATAAAGAATGTGTGATATTCTACCAACATAAAAGTTACATGGCAAATTAGATATGATTTTCTCATATAACCCTGATTCAATAATAAAAATCCCCTGAAGATGAAGATAGCATATCTGAAACAGAGTCCCTACATCTCTCTATCCTTCTAACCAAAACACATAAAACATCCTAAACAAACACTACTGAAATAGTACTGAAAACAAACGTGAAAGGCCTCCAGACCGGACCGGACCAGACCGGTCCAAACCGGACCAGACCGGACCAGACCAAACCGGACCGGACCAGACCAGACCGGACCAGACCGGTCCAAACCGGACCATGTGTGCTGGTCATCCCTATCATTGTATGTGTCTCTTTGACATTGTCAACATTCTCTCTATAGATGATTCAGATTTTTCTGCATAATCTGATTAGAGCAATTGCATTCCTTCCTAAATTCAACCCGGTGTCCTAGGAGGAGCAATGACAGGCGCAAGTACTACCCCTCCCAGGTTGATGTCTCCTGCATCACAATTACCCACAATCCTCACTGCAGGCAACAGCGTGCCCTGAGCACAAGCCTCGCACAATGATGGAACTATACCCAAACGAGAATAGGTACTCATACCTCCCTCTGTACAAGGAAGATATACTCTTCTTCATCCAGCCTAAGACAGACGAGGAACTATCAACAAAATAATTGCCCTCCCTACATTCTATTCATCATTATCTTTCATATGCATGCGCAATTACTGCCCCTCCCAATTTGATGTCTCCTACATCACAATTACCCACAATCCTCACATCAGGCAACAGCATGCAATGAGCACAAGGATGTAACCACCCCCAAACGATGCCCAAACCTGCCCATAGGCTACAACAAACATGTGGTTTTTTATCTTCATATCTTACAGATGCATTTCCTTAGCATTCTGTCCACGTTGGCCACCATGCCTAATCCTAACCACATTTCTGTTCACAAAAACACAGTCGATCTCCTGAATAATGAACAACTCATGCCAGCCTGGGAGTCACGGCAATCCAGGGGGCCCCAGTGAAGACATGCAATGTCCATCAAACGCACAACACACTGACAGAGTCCTAAATGGAACCCTATTCCCTATAGTACATTGCTTTTGACCTGGGCCCAAAGGGCTGCACTATGTAAGGAATAGAATGCTATTTAGGTAAAAGACACTGACTCACAGCCACTGGCATTCAATATGGATTTTCAATATGGATCTTGATCTTTATCTTGGACGAAGTGAACTACAGCACAGCTCCATGTACCTTTCACTGTCACTATTATGCATTTGAGAAGTCGTGAGTAGATTTCCCCTGAATAGTCAGCTAATTTAATAGTGAATCGGTGTGTGTGTGTGTGTGTGTGTGTGTCTGTGCCCATACTTAGAGCATGAAACTGCATGTCTGTGACTCACCTGGTAATCTCTCTCTCTCCCAGTTGTGCTGTGTGCTATCCACCCCTAGGCCAGCAAGGGTGTGTCAGGTGAAGGGCTGTGTCTGTCTGTGTGTGTGTGTGTGTGTGTGTGTGTGTGTGTGTGTGTGTGTGTGTGTGTGTGTGTGTGTGTGTGTGTGTGTGTGTGTGTGTGTGTGTGTGTGTGCGTGTGTGTGTGTGTGTGTGTGCGTGGATAGGTGTGTATGTGGGGTTCACAGTCTAGTGCCATAATATTGCAATTTTGGAATTGCACATCCAGTATTTGTGTATGTGACTAAAGTCCAAAACACCCATTGTGTGAGAAAATGGGTGAGTGTGTCTGCTATTTATGAGTAGGGGTGTGTGTGTCTGTGTTTCATAACTGAGGCTTGTAGCTGTATGTGCAAACACTGGCATCCTCTGTGCAATGTCTTGATGGAATAATCCCAAGGACTCGGCATTAAATGATCCACCACTACACCAGTCTAATACACCACTGGATCATTCATAACCTACTGCCCCCTCAGTCTCATTGTGTTATTCAAAACCACAACAACTTCTAAAATAACACAACATTCACTGATGCTGCACTACAGTATACTGCCGTGGCAATAAGTGATAAAGGGTTAGGAATAATAGTCACTGATTTTTTTAAAGGAAAGAAAGGAGTTTGTTAGTTCCTAGGGGCATGTTGATCAACGTTGTTGCCAGTCTCCCGGCATGAGAGTGAGCAATATGTAGCATGGTCAACAGAGATGGTTCAAATGTATTGATCCGCGTTACAAAACCATTATAAACTGACCAAAGTTCGAGCCATACAGAGAATTCATATTAACGTTTTTCTTATACGGCATAGTCAATTAGCTATTCTCAAACGTATGCCAATTATACTTAAAAGTAGCCACATTTTTCATGACAGTGTTCTTAAACTGAATAGTGGTAAATCCATGCTTTACAACGGCTGTCAAAACTGTCCGCTCAATATTCTAATTACAAATACACCACACACTCCCGCTTATTCTGAGTCTGACTGACACACGAAACTTCAGAACAAGTTAACTGTGAGCAGAACCATGGAAAAAAGACTTACAGAAGTTCGAGAAGCAAGTCGAAATGAACGTCATATTCCTCTTTCCACATTTTCTCTCCCGCATTCGAGGATGGGAATCAGTGTCAAGGAGCTCGCGACATCATCCAGCGGTGTTCGGTAAAATCCGGCATTCAGTCTTTGGCGGTATTTACCCTGAGGCTTAAGCAATCAGATTTTCGTGAGTCTTTTCCAACACAAACGGGACTCGAAGCCCCGCATGGTTATTACCCTGTTTAAGAGCACATAATTATCTAACTATAGTGTTTGTAGCCTACAGCCATTCCCCACAATGTGAATGGATTTGAGATTTTTCCCTTGAAGGCTCTTGGAGTTCTCCCTCAAAGAAAGGATGTGAGGGGCGGAGCGACATACCACAGAATCTACTGAATGATGTTCCTAAATCTTGTTAGTGCACACTCCCTTTGATGATCATGCAGGTCTATATAGCTCATTAGGCCACTTCCTCCCTGGTCTTTTCCCATAGGCTATGTTGTGATGCAAAGAAAAGCCTGTTTTCTCTTGGCATAAGGCTCAGAAACCACATAGTTAGCATATAACTCTTCAGAATACCAGTCATATTCAAAAGATGTGTCATATGATCATATTCAAAGGTAGATCAATTTCTACCCTACAGCTAAGGTAATTTCCCTCTACAGTGCATTCGGAAAGTATTCAGACCCCTTGACTTTTTCCACATTTTGCTACGTTACAGCCTTATTCTAAAATGAATTAAATTGTATTTTTCCCTCATAAATCTACGCACAATACCCCATATGACAAAGAAAAAACTGGTTTTTAGACATTTGTGCACATTTATATAAAAAATCTAATAAAAAAAATATGTACATGTAGGTAGAGGTATTAAAGTGACTATGCATAGATAATAAACAGAGAGTAGCAGCAGCATAAAAGAGGGGTGGGGGGACAATGCAAATAGTCTGGGTAGCCATTTGATTAGACGTTCAGGAGTCTTATGGCTTGGGGGTAAAAGCTGTTTAGAAGCCTCTTGGACCTAGACTTGGCGCTCCGGTACCGCTTGCCGTGCGGTAGCAGAGAGAATAGTCTATGACTAGGGTGGCTGGAGTCTTTGACAATTTTAAGGGCCTTCCTCTGACACCGCCTGGTATAGAGTTCCTGGATGGCAGGAAGCTTGGCCCCAGTGATGTACTGGGCCGTACGCACTACCCTCTGTAGTGCCTTGCGGTCGGAGGCCGAGCAGTTGCCATACCAGGCAGTGATGCAACCAGTCAGGATGCTGTCGATGGTGCAGCTGTAGAACCCTTTGAGGATCTGAGGACCCATGCCAAATATTTTCAGTCTCCTTAGGGGGAATAGGTTTTGCCGTGCCCTCTTCACGACTGTCTTGGTGTGCTTGGACCATGTTAGTTTGTTGATGATGTGGACACCAAGGAACTTGAAGCTCTCAACCTGCTCCACTACAGCCCCATCGATGAGAATGGGGGCGTGCTCAGTCCTCTTCTTTTTCCTGTAGTCCACAATCATCTCCTTTGTCTTGATCACGTTGAGGGAGAGGTTGTTGTCCTGGCACCACACGTCCAGGTCTCTGACCTACTCTCTATAGGCTGTCTCGTCGTTGTCGGTGATCAGGCCTACCACTGTTGTGTCATCGGCAAACTTAATGATGGTGTTGGAGTCCTGCCTGGCCATGGAGTCATGAGTGAACAGGGAGTACAGGAGGGGACTGAGCACGCACCCCTGAGGGGCCCCCGTGTTGAGGATCAGCGTGGCGGATGTGTTGTTACCTACCCTTACCACCTGGGGGTGGCCCGTCAGGAAGTCCAGGATCCAGTTGCAGAGGGAGGTGTTTAGTCCCAGGGTCCTTAGCTTAGTGATGAGCTTTGAGGGCACTATGGTGTTGAACGCTGAGCTGTAGTCAATGAATAGAATTCTCACATAGGCGTTCCTTTTGTCCAGGTGTGAAAGGGAAGTGTGGAGCGCAATAGAGATTGCATCATCTGTGGCTCTGTTGGGGCGATATGCAAATTGGAGTGGGTCTAGGGTTTCTGGGATAATGGTGTTGATGTGAGCCATGACCAGCCTTTCAAAGCACTTCATGGCTACAGACGTGAGCGCTACAGGTCGGTAGTCATTTAGGCAGGTTACCTTAGTGTTCTTGGGCACAGGGACTATGGTGGTCTGCTTGAAACATGTTGGTATTACAGACTCAGACAGGGAGAGGTTGAAAATGTCAGTGAAGACACTTGCCAGTTGGTAAGCGCATGCTCGGAGTACACGTCCTGGTAATCCGTCTGGCCCTGTGGCCTTGTGAATGTTGACCTGTTTAAAGGTCTTACTCACATCGGCTAGGGAGAGCGCGATCACACAGTCATCCAGAACAGCTGATGCTCTCATGCAGGTTTCAGTGTTACTTGCCTCGAAGCGAGCGTAGAAGTAATTTAGCTCGTCTGGTAGGCTCGTGTCACTGGGCAGCTCACGGCTGTGCTTCCCTTTGTAGTCTGTAATAGTTTGCGAGCCCTGCCACATCCGACGAGCGTCGGAGCCGGTGTAGTACGATTCAATCTTAGTCCTGTATTGACTCTTTGCCTGTTTGATGGTTCGTCAGAGGGCATAGCGGGATTTCTTATAAGCGTCTGGGTTAGAGTCCCGCTCCTTGAAAGCGGCAGCTCAACCCTTTAGTCTGAGAGTCCTTTAGGTGCCCTTTGGCAAACTCCAAGCAGGCTGTCATGTGCCTTTTACTGAGGAGTGGCTTCCGTCTGGCCACTCTACCATAAAGGCCTGATTGGTGGAGTGCTGCAGACATGGTTGTCCTTCTGTCAGAGTGACCATCGGGTTCTTGGTCACCTCCCTGACCAAGGCCCTTCTCCCCCGATTGGTCAGTTTGGACTGGCGGCCAGCTCTGGGAAGAGTCTTGGTGGTTCCAAACTTCTTCCATTTAAGAATGATGGAGGCCACTGTGTTCTTGGGGACCTTCAATGCTGCAGAACATTTTTTGTACCCTTCCCCAAATCTGTGCCTCGACACAATCCTGTCTCGGAGCTCTACGGACAACTCCTTTGACCTCATGGCTTGGTTTTTGCTCTGACATACACTGTCAACTGTGGGACCTTATATAGACAGGTGTGTGCCATTCCAAATCATGTTCAATCAATTGAATTTACCACAGGTGGACTCCATTCAAGTTGTAGAAACATCTCAAGGATGATCAATGGAAACACGATGCACCTGAGCTCAATTTCGAGTTTAATAGCAAAGGGTCTGAATACTTATGTAAATAAGGTATTTCAGTTGTATTATTTTTATTTTTAGCAAACATTTCTTAAAACCTGTTTTCGCTTTGTCATTATGGGGTATTGTGTGTAGATTGATGAGGAAACATTTTAATATAATCCATTTCAGAATATTGCTGTAACGTAACAAAATGTGGAAAAAGGGAAGGGGTCTGAATACTTTCCGAATGCACTGTATTTGGCCCTGGTGTTGTGTATTGTGTTGCCAACCATCTCTGACTCACCCTCCAAAAGCGAAGACGTGGACTGGGGGCATTGTGATAGGTATAGATAACACACACACACACACACACACATCCCTCCTTCCCCCTTCTAATCTTGAGGAATCGTGGAGACAAAAAGAAAGTGCCAAGGGGAGGACAGACAGACGGAGGAAGGGAGAGGGGGATAGAGAGGATCAAAAGAAGAGAGTAGGCACCTGGGATCCTTATCTAGAAAATACCATATAGGCAGCCATTGAAAGCTCGACAGCCATGATGTGACAGGACCACAATAGGCCCTGATCACTAAGCTAGCAGGAAACAGGATGTTGTTATCACCATAGTGATGCAAGTCACTGACAAATATTCTAGTGAAGAAAGTGTTTATGTAAGGCGGACGGGTCTCACAGAGTTTCAACCCCCCAGCTCCATCTGACTTCTCAAATGGCCACCACATTCTAACATTAACTGACATCAGCATTCCCTTCTAGCAGGCATCATAGGCCCGCAAACCCAATCATGACGTCAAATGATTGCAACGCAACCTCCAAAAGGAATACTTTGGAGTCTAAAACAAAATGCTTGTTTTAGTAGCTGCAACAGTGCAGTAATATCTAACAATACACAACAATACACACAAATCTAGGCTCAAAATGTCCAGAAACAAATAACTTTCTTCTGAAACTCGTCAGTCTATTCTAGTTCTGAGAAATGAAGGCTATTCCAGGCACCTCACAGGTCCTCAACTGGCAGCTTCATTAAATAGTACCCGCAAAACACCAGTCTCAACGTCAACAGTGAAGAGGCGACTCTGGGATGCTGACCTTCTAGGCAGAGTTGCAAAGAAAAAGCCATATCTCAGACTGGCCAATAAAAATAAAAGATTAAGATGGGCAGTCTGAGATATGGCTTTTTCTTTGCAACTCTGCCTAGAAGGTCAGCATCCCGGAGCCTTCATTTCTCAGAACAAGAAT